CTGCATGAAACCTCAAACCATGGGCTCTATTTCTGCCCCCAAGTAGACACTGTAAATCTGCTTAAAGAAAGTAATCAAAAGGAGCATTCTGAACAGAAAAGATAAGAAAAAGTATAACTTTCCTGGCTCCCATAAGATTAAAGTCATAGAGCCCTTCATATACTTAGAAACTTAAGATAAGGTCTCAACTTTCTGAAAGGTTTATTGTCTAATAATTTGTAAATTTTTATATGAAAAATGTATATGGCCTTTCACAAAATGTTCCCTTACTGGAGCACTCTCTTATTTGTGAAAACTGTGTATCATGGGCAGCTGTCCTAACTTGGGCTGGAATAAATCTCTCTCTCTCTCTCTCTCATTCTTTTATTTCTGAAAGCTTTGTTCATTTTGTGTCAACAATACCAAGTTTTAATTAGTAGGTAACTCTAAGGAAGTAGTAAACTTCCTTTAAGAGAGTAAGTAGGAGCTAAACACTTCACATTTTACTTCCTGGACTTTGCTATTATTTGAGTATTTTGTTGCTAACATGTATAATTTCTGTAAGAAATATAAATACAGGGGTGCCAGGGTGGTTCAGCTGCTTGAGCTCAGGCCATGATCTCCAGGTCCCAGGATGGAGCTCCCCATCCAGCTTCTTGCTCAGTGGGGAGTCTCCTTCTCTCTCTCTCTCTCTCTGTTTCTCTCTTCCTCTGCTCCTCCCTCCAGCTCATGTCCTCTCTCTCTCTCTCAAATAAATAAATAAAATAAAAAAAAAATACAAATACAAAAGTGGAAAAATACATATATGATTACATTTAAATATAAGGCTTCTGTATTTTGAAGATACCACAAAGTGGCAAGACAAATTATAAACTTCAAATACTGCAACATATGCAAGTAATAAATATGTGTGGAATACATATTCAGAACATATATAATGAACTCTCAAAAATCAACAAGAAAAAGAAAACAAAATGAAAAAAGGAGCAAAATACTTGAACAAGAAAGGAAAAAGGAATGGCTAATAAATATAAAAAGAAGCTCACTCTCGCAAATGAACAGGAAATGCAAGTTAAAAACAACCTGAAATTAATTTTTTATATCCACTGGCCTGGTAAAAGTTAAATACTCTAAAATTAATTATTATCATATGTGATATGAAAATATAAATTTGTGTATAAAAATATGAACAGGAACTCAGATCCATTGCTGGTAAAATGTAAATTAATAGAGACACTTTATGAAATACTGCATTATAAAATAAAGTTGTAAATATGTAAATAAAAATAAGACAATTTAAAAATTGTTTCTGTAGGGAAAGAAAGGAGAGATGATAACATGAGTCTTTAAATTAGAGGTGTCTATAGCTTTGATAATTCACTTGTAATGTTCAATAACATAAAATTAAATGATTTATAAATCAACTTTTCAACACGTAGTGATTAAAACATTTGAAATTTAAATCTTGTACTTTATTTTTCAATGATATAAATACTAAATTGAGTTTCCAAATGAAATTTCTCATTTAAAATACATCTGGTTGGCATACAACAAATCATGGAAAACCTAAGTTACAAGGGATGGTGAAAAAAAAATACAGGCTATGGAAAAATGCAGAAAATCCTGAATTTAAATACTTACCCTGATACGAAATAGAAAATAAGTTTAGAGAACATATGCTTCTTATTAGAGTAAGTTGGTAACCTATCCTAACTCCAGAATCTGGGTTATACAATTTTCATTAGCCTTGGTCATATATGAGTTAGCTACTTGTTTAATTTGTCCAGATATGCAATTCAGAAAATACAGGGTAAGTGAAGACTATTTCATTTCAGGGAATCTATCAGCTCTGGGGTTCCCTACTGGACAACACCAATCTGTACTCTTGGGGCAGATGGTAAATATGGAATCACAGAATCTATTTAGGGCTATTCTATTAATCCAAGGGAATGATGATGGTATCATAGACTAGAGTGGTTACAGTAATGGTTTTAAAAGGAAACAAAGCAACAGATTCTTAATGGCAGAAAACAAATTGATGGTTACCAGAAGGGAGGTAGGTTGGGGGATGGGTTAAATAGGTGATGCGGATAAAGAAGTGTACTTGTTATGATGAGTCCTGGGTACTATAAGGAAGTGATGAATCACTATATTATACACCTGAAACTGGTATTACACTGTATGTTAACTAGAATTTAAACAAAATCTTAAATAAATAAAAAGTTTATTTAATTTTTTAAATTTTTTTTAATTTTTATTTATTTATTTGACAGAGAGAGATCACAAGTAGGCAGAGAGGCAGGCAGAGAGAGAGAGGGAAAGCAGGCTCACTGAGCAAAGAGCCTGACGTGGGGCTCTATCCCAGGACTCTGGGATCATGACCTGAGCTGAAGGCAGAAGGTTAACCCACTGAGTCACTCAGGTGCCCCCAAAAGTTTATTTTAAAAGAAAAAAATTCTGTATATATTTTTAAAGGAAAGTCACAGAAATTTGCTGTTGAACCCATTATAAAGTTTGAGGAAAGAGTGAAGGAAAAAAAAAAAACTCCAAGTTTTTGTCTAGAGTTACTAGAATACTGGGATCTCACTTTTGTGAAAAGTGATTACTGTAGAAGGAACAGGTTGAGGTGGGTTAATAAAGAGATTCAGATTTGGATATGTTATATAAGATGCCCGAAAGACATCCAAGTTGAGCAGGTAGAATTCTGGATGTACAAGTCTGAGTTCACAGCAGAAATCTAGGCTGGAATTTATATTCAGGATTCAGTTAATATAAAATACTGAGGTTGAATAAAACCATATAGAGAGTAAATGGCAATATAAAAATCAAATTACTGATCCTTGGAGGAGAAATCAACCAAGAAAACAAAAAAGGTTAAGAAAAGAACCAAAACTGAGTGATTTTACGGAAACCAACTGATATAATTGTTTCAAAAAAGAGGTGGCTATTATATATGATTAATGCTGTTGATAACTCAAATAAGAGGAAGGTTGAAAACTGACTTCTAAATTTGACAATGTGACCATATGATCTTGGGTTGGGCTGTTTTGGCAGAACAGTTGGACAAAAGTGGAATTGTTCTGTGAGTAAAGATGGGGAATACAGACAGTTCTTGCATGGAGAAGTAATGAAGACAAGATACAGATAATTTTTCAAGGAAATTTTTTTAGAGAAATGTGTAGTACCTGAAGAAGGATGAACATAAGGCAGCATATTTATATGCTGTTCTATATAATACAATTGATGATGCATTAGTTTAACACTATTAATACTAGAGAATATGTATCATTAATTGTATAATTTACCTTTCTTATATTTCAATGATAATTTACAAAATCTTGACTTTTGTTATCGCTTTTATTTTCATTTAATATTAATTTTTACAGTTTATTCCTCAGGAAAATATAGGCTGCTAGTCCATCTTTCCTCTACAATTTTTAATATGATGTGTGTATGCATTAATACACATTTGTATCTATATCTACAGGCACACATATATGTATATTCACATAAAGATCTACTATGAGACAAATGAGAGGTTTGAACTAAACTATCTCTTACTCCCTAGACCCTTTTTAAAAGACTATACTGCTTTCCCACCATTTCTTCAGAGATTTGCTTCATTTACTGGGAGCAGTTATTTATAGAACTATTGCTCAACTTCACCTGTCACTGTGAACTCCTAAATCTGATCTATTTCTGATGCTTTCTTCCTGACTGAAAAAAATATGTTTACCACTTTAATTAAAATTATTCATTAATAGGATTAATGACATTGTTTTTTTCCTATCTCATTCTGTGAAAAAACTTTGATCTTGGTCCATTTTTATCTTAACAATTGTTGCCTCTCTTCAGTTTTGAGAGTTTGCCTATCTTCAATTTTGCTGATCCATACTGTATAGAATTTAGAGTAGCTAAATTTGTCAACAATGCTCTCATTTATAAAATATAAAGAACCCCATGTTATTCCTTACTTTAGGGTTATGTTTATTATTGCTTATTTTATTTAGACTGGTGACTAATCTCACTGAGTGTTTACTCAGTGCAACATGAAAAAGTAACAATTTTTTAAAAAATAGGATTTGGACCACCGTTCTAGTCTGTCCAAATTAGCAATGTGTTAGGCTATTAAGAAAAGACAGTAGCCACACATGTTTCAAGGCAGATGGATTTATAAATGCTTCTGAAATTAATAAATACAAAGTGTTAGGAACCACTAGCCTATTTCATCTATAAAGCATATTTTTGGCCAAGTTTTTGTTTTGTTTTGTTTTGTTTTGTTGTTTTAGTGAGGAAAGGAGGAAAGAGAAGAGGGGGAGAGAGAAAATCTTAAGCAGGCTCCATGTTTAGCCCAATGTGGAGCCTGATCTGGAGCTTAATCTCACAACCCTTGAGGTCATGACCTGAGCCAAATCAAGTCAGACAACTTAACCAACTGATCCATCTAGATGTCCCACAAAGTATTTTTTTTTAATGTCCAACTTTATACCTTTAGTTCTATCAACAGATTTCCTATGTAATTAATATTTTAAAATTAATTTATCAAACTATATAGGAGACAGAAACAATGATACATTGAGATACCATCAATTCTATCAAGGAGTTTACAACTGAATAATATGGAAAGAAGAATAAGAGCAACAAAACACTCTTCCTGAAATAATAATTGTAATACAAGGCAAATGTGATAAAGGCTATAAACTGAATATAGATTTTCCTATGAAAAAGGTGGTGAGAGAACTATAAACAATTAGAAAGATGTCTTAAACTTTTGAAGTGTCACACTTGAATTAAGCAGACCTGTGAATATATATCATTATAACATTAGTTCTGATATGCATGCAAATACAATTCCTACTTTTTGTGCCTTATCATTTCAGAATTAAACTGTCAGTGGTAACTATTGCTTTTCTTATATCTTTTATTTAATAATTAACTTCATTTATTATGTTCCCACAGTTAAATTATGTTTTTCATTCTTCATTTACACATCTTTTGATTATTGCTAAGTGATTATGTCTTTTAAAAGCATCATTCCTGGAGAGACTCACCAGGTTGATGGGTGGGAGTGGATGGAGCAAGCTACTATTCCACCACCCAGCTCCAAAAATCCATTTACATATTATCATTAGATAAAGGACCTATCAGATATTAAGCTGATAAGAACAGAGACTATATTTGATTTAGCCAAAAGGCCAAGAAGCAATTGACTATGTTTAAAAAAAAATACATCAGTTACAATTATAATGTGCAACCTCTATTCATGGAATTACTATCATCCTTCTTTATGGCAATGCATTTCAATAATCTGAGTGAAGATTCATTATATTTCAAAATATGAAAAATCTAAAATCTAGATTTTGAGGTAGTCTTTAAAAATTTCCCTTTTAAGGTTGTTTTGCCAAATCACTGACCTGTCTCTCCAGAATCCTCTCAGGTATGAAGAATTAACAACATTATATGGATATTTAATTACCTTTAAACTTTCACTTAGAATCAAGAGCAGTAACAAACATAGAGTTTGAGGTATAGAAAAAAGAGCATATGAGACTACCTACTTCCATTTATGTAGTATATACAGAAGGGCTTGAAAAAGTTGACACACATCTTTATAATCATTTAACTTCAAACTCTAGTATAATGGATTAAGCTTGATATTTTTATAGTATGTACAAAATAGTACCATGATGTTTTTAATTAGTGAATTTTGCATGCTTTAAAACAATCAAATTTCAAAAATATTTTTGAGAAGCCAGATGTTTGTTACAGATTTCTTTTCCCCCAAATAACAAGAGATAAATGTTAAGTTCAAACTAAAAGTATACACTTTTTCATGTACTTAACTCTGGGGTCTAAAAAGACAAAGTGCCATAGAAAAAAAATCTTTCTACTTAAAAATATATGTAATTAAGGAATATGTTGTTTTCCTAGAAACTTTTCCAACCTGGCTCCTATGGAGCTGCAGCATGTACATCCAGAGGAGAAGTAACATCAGGGTCTGGTGAGGTGGTCTCTTCAGTGCCTTCTTGAATTTTCCCCCCTTTTAGCAGTGTTGAAAATAGGTCTGGAAAAGCATAGGAAAGCTATATCAAATTTTCCTTAGGAGGTTTTTTTCCATACTGTTTTAGCAACTTTGCATAGTGAAGGTGTTCTATGGTATGACATACGTATTCATTTTCACTAATGAGTCCTCCCATGTAAAATTAACAGTATCCTCAAGAAAAATATAATTACCCTGTATTAATTCAAATCAGGCTATATTTGAAAATATGCTTGTGTGAGTCAGATCAGAAGCATCCTTAAAACTACACAAACATGAAAAAGCTTTCTAAGGAAAACTGAACTATTTAGGATGGTATCCTTTCTACAAAATGAAATATGATGATTTAGGACAATATGTTTTTTGATAGGCTATCCTTATAAGCTAGATTTTACCAAATATTTAAATATTATATGCTCATATACAGTCCAGAAAATTGAAATGCATTGTTTAATGAGTATAATAATTATTTCCATGTGTACTAATAAACATTCTAACATATGTATGTCATATATATATGAAATAGTTATACATTTATTTTTACCAAAAATAAAAATATCACTACATTTCTAATCTTGAATGAAAAATAAAAGACTGTGTGTTGGCAGATATACATCATCTTTAATATGTTGAAATGATCAGCGTAATTAGTTACAATATGAGAAATATATTTTGATTTGATTTTCCCCAGTATTGACTAGTTGACATGTAGTAAAAATATTGATGGCTTGGTTATACTTGTTTTCTAAAATCCATAAAAATGTTGTTTATGCATTATCTTCTGGTTTAGTGAAAACGAATGTAGTAATAAATATTTAAAGAAGAAAGGTTGCTAAAACAGTAACCATTAATCTAAATACTCAGTGTTGCTGGATTAATCTTTACAAGGCTTGGATGGATATTAGAGAACCAATACCAGAATTTCTGTAGTACAACTGAATTTATGGTTATACTCTACAATTGAATTACAATTGAATTTATAGTGTTAGAATATTAAAAAAAAACCAAGTAATGAAGAATTTTATAGTGCTAAGAGCAAAGTTTAAGTTATCGTATTTAAAAGACCTTTTCTTCTATCCCATGTTTTCATATTTAAGCTAGATAGTCCTTTAGGAAAAAATATTTGAATTATCTGATTGCTTTATGGTCTTTAATTTGTTAACACTTATTTCAATGTCATTTGCCTTCCCAATTGCACATTCTTAAATTTACAACTTTATCTAAACCTCACTAATACTTGAAAGCACTGTAAAATAATGGAAATTCTATAAATTAATTTTTATAAATATTCTTATACCCACTTACCATATAATTATGACACATACATACAGTGACATTTTAGTTACACAATATGTAGTTTGCTTAATGAAACAAAAAATCAGTAGAAATGTCCATTTCTGCTTGATATATTTTGTCAGATTTTTTAGAAATCTGTATTTGATTATTTCAAAAGCACAGTTAAAAACTGATTCTCAAAAAATGATAAGTTACAGCTAAGATAAAAAATGTTATTAATTTCTTTAATAATAATGGCAAAATAAAATTAGAATTGATATTTGAGAATCAGCTCTAAAAACAAAAATGAAGACCAAAGCTTGAAGGAAGGAAAATCTGGTGGAAATTAATCCTGACCTCTGTGATTTAAATTTAAGTTAAAAATCAAAACAGTCTAATCAGTCAGAGAGAGATACTCTATTTACAAACAACTGTCTTTGTGGCTTAAATATATGCAAATTTATTTCTCCCTACGGGAAAAAAACTCATAAACCCGTGAATCTGAGGGACGCCTGGGTGGCTCAGTGGTTAAAGCCTCTGCCTTCAGCTCAGGTCATGATCTCAGGGTCCTGGGATCAAGCCGCCCCACATCAGGCTTTCTGCTCAGCAGAGAGCCTGCTTCCCCCTCTCTTTCTCTGCCTGCCTCTCTGCCTACTTGTGATCTTTGTCTGTCAAATAAATAAATAAAATCTTAAAAAAAAAAAAAAAACTGTGAAACTGAAAAGTGTGTTCAGTGACAGCTTGCTGTGACCAAAACCCTAATAAATAGAAGGTGCATTTCTTCAAGATCAGCTGAAACATAACCGAATGAAATCCTCACAAGATAGCTAGAAAAATAAGAGTTCACCATAGTTCCCAAGAGTTCATAAAGTATTCAATATTAAATATATCTTTTAAAGATGAAGGTATCAAAGTTAAAACATACAATAATAGTAAAATCAGTTTCATTTTCACAAATTTCTGGCCAACAGGTTATCACTTTATATAAGCAAGCAGAATTCTAAATTGAAAAGAGAAAACTATGAAAGAAAAAATTATGAATCAGGGAAAATTTGCTGCTGAACAAAATCACAGCCTAAGAGAAACCTTTTCAAAGGTATAACAGATAAGCTAGGCATATTATAGATGTTAAGCTAGTAAAAACTTCATTTTCCATAACTTAGTAATGAAATATGGGTTCACAAGCCACAGGTGCTATAACAGGAGAAAAATGGCAAATTCTTTTTGTCTCCTTGGAATATTATTACAGCAAATAATTAGACAGACATCACACACACACACACACACACTAGTTGATAATAGCTAAATTTTAAATATTAAATATCAAATTATTTGGGAGATGTAAGGTAGTACCTTATAAAAGAGAGAGTATAAACTGCACCTTAAAGGAAAAAAGATGAAATTTTCTAAGTATAGGGATCCTCAAAGTATGAAGATGAGTAAGCAAATAAATCAAAAGAAAGGTAGCAAGCATTAATTACAAACTCCGTTATTTACAATCTCCATTATAGGATCAACAAAGATTAATACCATTATTTAGTTATTAAATAAAAGGTTTTAAAGTTCCCTGTCAGTGTCTAATTAGCTTACAGAGCAATAAGGGATAAATAGAAGACAACCGATAAGGTTACATATGGACTGAGGCCAACATGAATTTATTTATTTTTTATTTTATTTTTTTTAAAGATTTTTATTTCTTCATATGGGGCGGGGAGAGAGAGAGAGAGAGAGAGAGAGAGAGAAAACAAGTGCACAAGCAGGATAGGCAAAGGGAGAGGAAGAAGCAGACTCCCCACTAAGCTGGGAGCCTGACAAGCGGCTTGATGCCAGGACCCTGAGATCATAACCTGAGCCGAAGGCAGATACTTAACCGTATGAGCCACCCAGGCAGCCCCAACCTGAATTTAATAAAGACACACAAAATAATTTTGCATAGCAGCTGGTAGAAATGAGAAAACTGTAATAACAAAACAATTCCTCGGTAAAACAAATTTTGGAAAGCCCAAGAATCAAATTTAAATGTGTGCATGCTTGCGTTGGATTATTTATTTTTATATTTAAAAATATTTCAGACTTTAAAATGCTATTTTAACTTCAGAGTGCCTACCAGGAATTGTATGTTCTATGCTTCCATTTTTTGTGAAACATGTCATGTGACATTTCTTTCCAGTGTACACTTCAGATAATATTGACCTGCAGTGAAAAATATAATACATGGTAGTGGAAGAGACTTATGGTAGAAAAAGTTTTCTATTGAGTTGTCATTGCAAATACTGGGAGTCCCTCAGTAAATTTCTAAATCTAACTCAATGGACAGATTATAAGTTTAGTAAAGGGTAAGGGTAAGAGATTATAAAAGTGCTTGCTGGTTTTGAGATGCTTTCAGGTGTACACATAGTTAAGTACTTAAGTCTAAGGTATGAAAGGTTATTAATCCATCTCCACCTTTTGTCCTCATTAAGGTACTGCTGATAGGGTACAACAATATCCCTGGAACCCTGGAAACTTCTATTCTAAATATACCATCCTAGAATGATAACTCCAGTGAACTATGAGTAAATTCCTTTTCTGGCCTAAAAATAAAGCAAAAAATGTTCTAAGATTAAAAAATTCTAAGATTAAATCTTGTTTGCTTGTGTAGCATGATATTAAAGATACCTAAAACTGTACAGAAAAGAAGAAATTAAAGATATATGTTAATTCATATATATGAATATATGTGAATATCTACACATAATATTGGCAGAAGGTAAAATATTTACTGTATTTCCTATGCTGTGCTTTTTTATCTGTGTGACTTTTGTTTTGTAACTGAAAGTTTGTACCCCTTAATCTCCTTCATCTAAATTCCACCTACCACCCCACCCTTCCCCTCTAGCAACCAGGAGTTTG